ACGGATTTACTTCATCAATTGTTCAGGTAACAGTTACTACTAGTTCATTCTTTATGTATGAAATGCAACATATTATGAATTCTGGTATCCTTTTCAGTCCTTACATTTTTTAGAGAGGTACCAAACACAAATATATATGGTCCTTAATGCTAAAGGAAAAGATTACTAGTAAAAGTTCAGATGCGTTTGTTGCTTAGTCCTGGCCTTCAATATTTGGAATGCAGTGGGAGATATTGAATATTGTGATTACTGTAATAGTGAAAGAAATATCAAGATGTTCAATGCAAACATTTGACACTGCATGTGAAGGGGGCTGGTTGGGGGGAGGCTACATAAAAGAGAAAGAAGTTAGATTTTCCAGTGATTCTGAACTCAATGCTGGAATATGCATCACATCAACTCCATCAGGGACTTGACAAGTTTTCTACATGAAGTGGTTTTATACATCATTTTGGTGTAAAATGAACACAAGTAGTTTAACAATTTCAAATAACCTGAATGGACTGCATTTATAAATCCTTGTAAGGCTTAAATAAAGGTGTATGAGAATATTCAGCATCCATGTTTTGAGGGCCATATTTGTCATTTTCTACGAGTTACCTTGTCAGATTGTTTTAAATTCCTTTCGTTATTCTGCCTCTTGTAGGTTCGGGGGTCAATGCCATTTCTTTGGGAGCAAATTGTTGATTTGACTTATAAGCCTAAGTTTGAGATTGTGAGACCTGAAGAAGCTGTGAGTGTGTTCACTTATTCCCTCTATTTCATTATGCACTTGAATTCATTCTACCTTCAGTGACATTGCTGATATACAACATATTATGCAGCCATGAGTAGCTGAGAGGCATTTTCTGGATCTAAGAAAAAGGTATGGATCTGTACTAGCTGTTGATCTTGTCAACAAGGTAAGCATTGGCTGATTAGTTGTGCGCAGTATGCAATTATACTTTGTTATAGTCAACACTACTCAAGTCCTCTTATGAAATCCATAGAGAACACCTTTGACAACGTACTGACTTTGTCCTTGCAAACAATGAGTTGTTTACATGTGCATGGGATGTGCATGTGGATGGGTATAGGATTGTGTATTTTAGATCTGAACAAGCATTCATTCATTATCTCAAATGTTTGATCACGTGCCACTTTCGTTATCTCTTACCTGCATGGAGGTGAGGGACACTTAAGTGAAAAGTTTGCAAATTCAATGCAGTCCATAGTTAGTGACGATTTAAGGTACAGTTTCTGTTTATCTAAATCTTTTTTTTTTTTTAGTTTTGGATGTCATTATGTTTATGCAAAGACCTGTGATAATGCAGATATCTGCACTTCGATTTTTATAAGATCTGTGGACATGTTCATTTTGAGCGCCTTTCCTTCCTCTATGATCAAATTGCAGATTTTCTTGAGAAAAATGGGTATGTTTTGATAATTGCAGTTTTCTGTGATTTACAATATGATAATTGTTGCTAGAGTACTTTTGATTCTATTGTTTTTGCAAGAACAGGTTTTAAAATACTGTTCCCTTAGTAAAGGTTAGAACAATGAAATATAGCCATTAATACTGGGTTCTCTTTGTCTGAAACTGATAGGTACCTGTTGGTGAATGAAAAGGGCGAGAAAATGAAGGAGCAACTTGGGGTTGTAAGGACCAATTGTATTGATTGCTTAGACTGCACCGATGTTACAAAGGTAAGTCAACTTAAACTGGAGACATACTTCTCATCTTGGCTTTGTCCATAGTTGCACAACATTTATGCAGCAGACATTTTCTTTTAGGATAGAAACTTGTGCTTATTGCTTACCTGTCATGACAATTTCAACTCCCCTGTTCTAACCTCAACAAATTACATACATTTGCTGAATGCTGTTCCTTCTGTATGGTTGTTACTCCTAAGAGTAATACAAGATATTTTACAACAGGTGTATTAACTACTAGAATGAATTCCAACTATTGTTATAAACTAGATGGGTGTTTCTGACCTTTGAAAGTGCTTCCTGTAACTAAATCAATAACTCTATAAGTTTTCAACTTGATGTATGATGACTATCTTTTAGCACCTATGTTGCCTTTGTTGTTTAAGTTGCTATGTAGATCTCTCTTTCAGAGACGGACACATACTCAAGTAGAGGTGTGTGAACACATGCATGTAGTTACCTGTTATTCATGTTTGCCACACTGTTAGTGTTCTTCACTTCTGTAACCACGCTAACTATGTCTGCAAAGCATGATAGGTAGGAAAATATTGGAACTTCAGCTATGGAGGATTGGTGTTTTTTCTGCTGAAGAAACCATTAGCTTACATACAAATCTTGATGAAAGCTTTAAAATATGTCAGTATTTCCATTTTCTTATTCTAATAATTTGCTTTCAGAGGGTGTTCATTCTTAACATCTTTGTACTTAGTCTATTGTATATCAATTTGATTTCCTAGCATGTGAACTAAAATTTACTTTTAAACATCTTCACATCTTCAGTGTGAGCTAATCATGGGGATGACATAAGCATACAATATTCTGGCGCTGCTGCATTAAAAGGAGACTTTGTCAGGTACATCTATATCTTGACTTTACAAGTAGAGCTTTAATTTGTATATCTAGCAAATGTTATATTCTTAAGCTATTTTGATGCATCTTGGTGCAAATAGCAGTGTGCTGAAATTTTTCTGTTACAATGTTGATTGCTATATCAATGATTGCATAAGAATACTATTATCAATATTAAATTAGAATGGACACTAATGTTCTGCCCTACTATGAATTTGTTCTTTTGGGGTTGTAGGTTTGGTCAGCGAACAGTTCAAGGGATACTTAAAGATGGATATAATGCCCTTGTACGCTATTATTTGAATAACTTTTCTGATGGAACAAAACAGGTACAAATACTTTGTTACTTTAAGTAATAGTTGCAATAATTAAAAATTAGGTTAATATTTCAATTTTTTTTGCCCTTACCATCACCATTTATGGCTGTATGTGAATGTTTGGGGTGGGGTAGGTGAACCCAATGTTTTAGTTCTTTTCATACCATAATTCTAATGCTACAAAATCTTTTACATACATAAGTGCCCTTTAGTCCGTAATAATTGTTCACATCAAACTTTCGTTTGAGCATTCTTACTGTTAGCATAAGTATTTTCTGAACAACCATCCATGCTTTGGTTGGCCAGTCATTTATTAACTTGTAATTGATGCAGCAGCGCTGTGCCTTTTTTTCTACAATAACTTTGTTATTTTACACCATTTATGAATGGATGACTCTCTCTTCTGGGATAGTTTTCCATATAGATCCTGACTTCCTCTAATTCATTGGTCACATGCATGAAGGATGCGATTGATCTCCTGCAAGGACATTACATTGTCTCTGTCAGCCGGGATATGATGCATCCATCTCAAACAGGAGGCCTTGACGCTATAGCCGTAAGTATAAATTGAACAACATTTGACTATTAAGATTTCACTGCTCTTCATGGTGTTGCCGAAGCTCTATACTCTACATTATTTCTTTATTTTTGAAGAAATTGCTTTATTTTTTTGCGGATTATATGAGAAGCTTTTATGCCAGGCAATAGTTCATTGGTTTATCCTTGTCCAACACAGTTTATCAACACTTTACTGCTGGTTTGAAGCCTGCAGAGAGAAACAGCATTCCATTTGTACACGTTGCAAACCTTCTGTTGAAACTTTAGAAATGTAGATCTTACTGAAAAAAGTCATGCTGCCACACTAAGTTATTGAGATTATGGCTTTACTAGGCAAAGTTGAACTCAGAATTTAAAACATATGGCCGGACGGTTCACACTGATACCATATTTGAAAGTGATTTTTGCAAGAATATTTCAGATGACCTTTACAATCCCACTAGAATGGTAAGGCTTTCCAGCTTTTATTCCACCTGTACTTAGCATCTCATATTCATAGGTATACTGTGATGTTTTTACCGGCACAAGGTGAATGTACTAGTCTTACTTTACCTTCTTCCATTCTCGTGCTATTGCTTTTTTATTTTAGTTGCTGGTGCCGAGAATGAGCAAAGATGCAAAAAAAATGCTTCTTTTTGTGATTTTACTGTACATGTCCCTTATATGTATTCAATATTTTTGCTGTTTTTAGACCTTAAGTTCATATTTTCTCTTTCTGCAGTCCTTTCCACTAGCTTTATGTTTGGTCTCTATTGGGTTGTTTTTCACAACCATGTCACTGAGGCAAGGTGAGTTTACTTCTGCTTAATCCTATGATCATAAAGTACAGCTTCATTAGCATAAATAGTCCTTGACAAAAGCCTTGTCTTCATTCTCTGCAGTTTGATACGATCTTGGACACTTAATTTTTTTCAGTTTTGTGGGCAAGCATAAGCACTGCTATTGCGGCTTTTGTTTGAGCTAACGGCAGGATTTTCTGCAATCGGCCTCGTTTGCATAAACCTCGGGGTTGATTACAGCATTCTGAATGCTACGGCAAATACAAACTTGTTCAACAGTGTTCATCTTGCTGAATCATATTATTCTTTCATACCAATTTTTGTAGTCCATTTAGTTGCTAATTTTTAGTACCTCATTTATTTTTTTCAGCTATGTTTCTCACCAACATAAACTACCGGTGGTGTATTTTTCTTTTCACTTTGTTGTTTTCTTAATACACACACACACACATACAAATGTTATTTCACCTTGTGCCTTGTTCAATGGTTGCAGCTACAATCTTCTTTACCTTACCTACCATTGACAACTCTGTTTAATTGAAATTATGATTTAAAGTAATCATGGGAAAAAATCACTTTTTAATGTATTAACTGTAATGAGTGAATCTTCAAGTGATAGTATTGGTTGACTTGATGGTGTCTGCTCGGATCTTTATCAAAACAAGAAAAAATAAAAAAGGATAATAGTATTAAGCTAATAATAAGAACCAGTGCTTAAGCAAAAAAAAAAAAGCAAAAATGGAAATAGAGGAAGAGCCTTTGAACTTGAAATTAAGTTGGAATCAACATAATGAACAAGAGATATTCCTTCGATCACGAAGTTTTAGCTGCAAACGGAGGCCAATAGAGGTGAAACTCGATTTTGTAGGTAACAGTAAGGCCCTTGAGGTTCACTGGAGATGATCTCACGTAGCCTTGCACAAACAAGAAGTCACCTGTACCTCCTACAACTGGATGATCGGAAGGTTTAACATTATGTGTGACTCCCACGATGGAAATGGATCCTATGTGCTGCTTCAAACGTAGAGTGATCTTAGCGACTGAAATGCTCCGGAGCCCATCAAAACCCGAGGTGATGGAAGTTCCTTCCGCTATGCCTATAACTTTTGAAGATGGGTTAGCTGTAGCAGTCATGGGATCTTGGAAAACAAATATGGTACCGAAAGGAGTGGTGGTTTGACTGATGCCTGGCCCTGCCACACCATTTACTACTATATACCCGGTTTTATTTATGGTTTCATGTTGAAAGAGAGCGAAGTGAAGCGAATTGATTCCATGATGTTGGTGGCCGTGGGTGTCAGTGGAGATGGCCTTATAACATGGGAGAGCAATTAACAGAAGAGCAAGAACAGCATAATTGTGCTGAGTAGGACCAGCCATGGCAGTGTAAATAGACAGGAAAATGTGAAATTGAATGCTTCAACAAGAACAACCTTTTATAGACCTGATAAACACTATTCAGAGAACGTACTCGGACCGGAGATAGAGGTCAGGTCTTTGTGTCACAGGTCGAGACTTAAGCTTCGAACCTGTGCGACTCTCGGATCCGGGCATTCACTCTTCTGACGTCTCGAATCAGCCTGACCGCTACGATTCACACCCTTATGAGGTATTGTCCGCTTTGACCCCTCTGGCATCACGGTTTTGTCCTACAAAAAGCGCCTCATAAGACGGAGGTGGTGTGAACCTTTATATACCCTAGTGACCTTCCTATTATGTTCGATGTGGGATTCAGGACTCTTCATTTAGGTCCGTGACATTCTCCCGCACCCAACCTCGTGACGCCCTCGTCACAGAGGCTGGTCACCCTGCCTACCTCCCTCGAAGTGTTTGGCATAGATCAAATGGTTTAGGGCTGGCTCTGATATCGGGTCGAGACTTAAGCTCCGGAAGGCTGACCACCCTGCCTACCTCCCTCGAGGTGTTTGGCACGGATCGAACGGTTTAGGACTGACTCTGATATCATTTGTCACGGGTCGAGACTTAAGCTCCGAACCCGCGTGGTTCCGGGATCCGGACATTCACCCTTCCAGCGTCTTAGATCAGCCTACCTACCACGGTTCACACTCTTATGAGGTATTGTCCGCTCTAGCCCCCTGATCTCACGGTTTTATCCTACAAAAGGTATCTCACAAGACGAAAGTGATGTGAACATTTTTATACTTCAGGACCTTCTATTATGTTTGATGTAAAATTCAGGACTCTTTCTTAAATCCCAGACATTTGGACTTATAATCTCGACACAATTTACCCCAACAAAGATAACTACTATTCCCACTTCACATTAACCAAAAAGTCTTAGGGTACAAAGTTTTATCAACATAGTCTGTCAAGTAGACAAAGATTAGAAACAAATTTCTAACTTTCAGACGCTGTTTTTAAAAAGGAGAATTTTAGGTGAACCTTTACTTTCACAAGCGGCCCTTGACCTATAAATGTGAGCATCGGATTGGAGCACGATAGAGCACACCGGCGTTGAACCAATAGATTACGTTATAGAAAAACGATCAAGTCAACAAACAAAAATAAATCCTTTCTGTCAATGATGCCAAGTACAGAAGGACCAGGAATCCTTGTGCGTTTATGGACAATATATATGTGCTTCTCAACATATATTGCCTTTATTATAGGATGCTCCGGATCTCAAATGCATAAATTCTACTTTGCTTTGGACGTTAGAACTTATCCCACTCAAGACTCTAAAAGATTCATGGGCAGGCAAGATATACGGCACCATTTTCCTTATGATGTCCTCCAATCACCCCATTGCAACCTATGCTGGCCTTTAGTCCTTGAGATTCAGCCAATCTATCACCACAGAAATTTTGCACATCAACTCATGCTCAATCTCACCCTCTTCTATATCTTCCATCATTTCATCGTATGCTTCACTTGAATTCCAAAGTTGAATTTCTTTCCTTTCTATCTTTACAGGATTCCTCGGTCGACAGCATGCACACGAATTTCATCAGATGAAGTACAGGCCAGTCCACACAGACTAAAAGCACAGCCTTGCTGTTATCAGCATTGACCGACTCTCATGAACTTGTCCTGACGGGCTCACTCAGTAGTTTCAAATTACCTATAAAACACACCCTGATACCATACTAATTCACAAAAGCTCTCTTTCATAAAAAGCAAAGCCATTAAGCTTTGAATTACCTCATCAGGCCCGGCCGCCTCTTAAAATTTTCAATGCTGAAAGCATAGACAGTGACAAACTTAATTCCTAATTCATAACAGTAATGAAGTAGAGACGTTAGAGGCAGACAGGCAGCCTTAATTAAATATGGCCATCCCCTTCTTCCAGATTCTGCTTCTTTGCATGCCTTGGGTTTCCGTCCATGATAAAGAGAAGGTAAGTAGGGATGGGATGGGATGGGATGGGATGGGACGCATAGATAGAACTCGAAATATGCATTTCCTCTCCTCTCCTCAGAAAACTAGCTAATGTCGCCAAACAGCCTATTCACACCATTCCCACTTTATTTGGAACTGGAGCCACCATTGGGGGCAATTGAGCATTGACCGGCATGCTCAATAGAGAAAATAAATTATACCTACTTAAAAATAGGCAATTTCAGATGGAATTGAGCCTATTGGATCTCTACCACTCATTAATTAATTAATTCATCCATTCATTAATAAAACCAAACCAAATCAAAACCAAACCATGATCATTTGATATATACACCAAAATAAAAGATGAAGAGTCCCATTGCAAAATTTGTTAAAAATATCTAGAGAAATCTCTAAAAAGAATCATGATCATGTGATCATATTAATTAAAAAAAAAATTACCATCGCCCCAGAAGAACATACATATGCAAAAAACAAAATACACACAATGCAGGATCTTGAGCCCAAGTTTTATTACTCAGACCTTGTTCCCAGGTTGATAGTTTGAAGATCATGCTCAAGCGCCATGTTGCCTTGAATGAAGCGGGAACGATGAGTAGATTGTTGGCCATGTCAAGGAGTACTTGAGGAACGATTAGAGCCGGATTTAGAGGAATCCTTTGGTTTTTCCTTATTAAGTGATTCAATCCGTTCCAATGCTTCCAAAACTTCTTTCATGGATGGACGGTTTTTAGGATCATGCTCTAGACATTTCAGTGTGAGCTCAGCTGATTGTGTTGCTGCCTTGGACGAATACTGGCCATCAATCCGCACATCCATTATGGTTTTCAACTTTCTTTTCTGAGACAGTTGGTTTCAGCCAATCAACCAAATTTTGCTGCCCCCCTGGTCGCTTCGCATCCAATGCTCGCAAGCCTGTCATCATCTCAAGCAACACCACTCCAAACCCATACACGTCGCTCTTCACATATAAATGGCCTGCTGCAACACCATATAATGGGAACTATAATGTTAGCAAAAGCTAAGGTTCTTTTCAGCACATTGCTTTTTAATGTTGCACATCAGCACATTTTTAATGTTGCACATCAGCACATGGCCACCTAAAAATGCAATTTGAGTGACCTCATCTTTAAGAAAACATTTCCTTTTTCATATATTTATCCAATTAATTCAAAAGCAAAGTTGTTTCATCTAGAAAAGTAGCTTTTCTTAAGCATTTTTTGAATGATATATCAAGAATTGAATGCTATATCAAAGCATCACCTGTTGCAATGTATTCAGGCGCAGCATAACCATATGTTCCCATAACCCTGGTCGTTACATGTGACTCTCCACCAGCAGGCCCCAATTTGGCCAAGCCAAAATCTGATATTTTTGCATTTTAGCTCTGTAGAGAAAAACAAGAAAGAAAATCTAATGTTTGCTCCTTGAATGGGAATGGTACTTTATAATTGTAAAGCAAATGATGGATGCCTAAACTTAGAAAGCCAACCACTCATTTATAGCAAGACAGGCACACATTCCTTCACTCTATTGGGTGGTCATAGATTTTCGGTTGAGATCAGTCTACTTCATTTTGAATCCAAAAAAAAAAGATGTTGAAAACTATATACATTGAAATCTTGAACCAGTCCTCAGACAGTAAGTAGAGCATAATGATCTTGAATTAGAATGCACGCACTTAAGATAAAAATCCAAAGGTATGTGGCAAATAATTAAGGACTAACCCCATCAAGCAATATATTAGAGGCCTTGAAATCTCTATAAATAACCTTCTCTGAAGTATGCAAAAAGCTAGACCTCTAGCTGCTCCAATCGTAATTTTAAGCCTTAAGTCCCAAGATAACGGTTCAATTGCTGGATTTCCTGCATAGCCAAATAACCAAGCACTCAACATGATTTACCCATTGGACGTGAACTTCCTTTTTTTCTTATTTACTTTCAAATTCTTAATCTTACGTCTGAATAGATGATTTTCCAAACTTCCTTTCTGCATGAACTCATAAACAAGGAGCAGCTCTTTTTCCTCCCAACAGTATCCCAACAGCTTAACCAAATTGGGATGAGACAACCTTCCTAGAAAGTTCACCTCTGACTGCAAAACAATGACAAATTAAGGAGAAGAAAACAAATCAAATAAATTGCTGCCACTGACAGAGAGAGTCATGAATAAATTATAGTATACTAACTACTGACTATCCCAAAACTGTTAAAATCAAGAAAATTGCCTAAATACAGCTAGAATGCGATGTCATTGAATACATTGAATATTGATACCACAACAAGGCATCGTTAGGTTTATAACTCTGAAGGTGACATCACTCATTCCAGACAATGACAATTCCCATCAACAGTACTTAGAAAATGATTAAACGCCCAAAGGTTTTTTCTTCTTTTTTTCTGGAGGGTAAGGATTAAAGGTTTAATAAAGCTATCAAAAGCTTTTAGCTAAAAAAAAAAGCTAACTAACAGCTTGGGCTTCTTCTTTTTGGCTTTGTTGTTCGTCTACTGAAATACTAGCAGTACTTATTAATAGAAACAAATGAGAAGATAACAACGAATAAACGCCTTGTTATTCCTTCCTTGACGGACAAGATATAAATGAACAGAAACAACAGAGCTGAAATTGATGATAACATGAGAATTAATTAATACCTGCCACTCTTCAAAACCTTGCATACTTTCATGGTTCAATTTCTTGATGGCAACAATCATTCCAGAGCCAATCTTTGAGGGTGTTAAAGTTTTCTCATCCAACCAACCTTTGTAAACTTTACCAAAACCCCCTTCACCCAACAGTGTATCACCTTTGAAGTTCTTGGTTGCTGTCTTCAGCTCTGCAAAAGTGAAGACTTTCAAGTTTGGTGTTTCCAGGATCCGCCCATCTGGGCATCCCTCCTCAACAATTTCACTTACAGTCTCTGAAAATTGACTCCTGCAATTGCTAGCACTGCTGGTTGCTGAAAATTCTATGTTGTTGCTGCAGTTATTTGATGTACCTGTTGCAGATAAAAAAAAAAAAAAAGGCTTATCTAGATTAACACTCTTTACTATGTGATTCTATTTTTTCTCCTTTCATGATCCAGGGGAGAAGAAGGAAAAAAATGAAACTTCTTACAAAACAGATTAATTAGAAGCCTCAAAAGAATCAAAGGAAAACTTTTGAAATGAATTAGAAGAATATATGGTATGGTAAGAATAAATTACCTGGGGTAGTAGGAATGTTGGCGGAGCTGTACACGTGACCAGTATCTCGATCAGAAGAAGATCCCTAGCAATTACCCATATGAACAACAACTCTATCTCTCTTACCAACCCTATCAGGAGAACAAGAACAGCATTTTTTGCAGTAGAGCTTGTTAAATTTCTTGGCAAAAACGCAATTAGAAGGAAGGACAAGATATATATAAAGCAGAGAGTGGAGAAGGTGGAGTTCCTGGCTTTTTTTCTTTTTTGCCTTTCTTTCAAGGCTTTTTCCCGGCTGTTGCAGGTAATCAACGTTTATTGCTTCTCTGACCAAAAAAGTAGAAACTTTCATGCTTGCTTATTAACGAGTACAAACCGTAGCGATGCGTAGGTCAACAAGGACGTGTGAGTTGTAACAGACAAGCGCAGGAGGAGTTGGCGTCAGCTGCGTGTCTGTGTGTAGACATATTTTTTTAACTGCGTTGGACATGTTTGAATTTCGTACTTCGTAATTCTAACTTATAATCAATACCATACTGCTACACTTTCAATACCCTTTAGTCTGCTCATACTTCATACAATGGAGTGAACTGTCTCATTTTTATTTTACCAAAAATTAATAGTGTTTTCCTCATATGTACAAAAGGTTAATGTTTTTCATTTTCTTATCTATTTGTGTTGAACAATTTTAAGACCTTGCTTTAAAAACTTTTTTTTATTGACTTATTCTCTTGATCTAATTCTCCTTTTCTTATTAAAAAAAAAAAAGACAATTTTTGTATTTTATGTGGAATGGTCCATGATATTTCATACACAAATAAAGTCACCACCCAACTGAGTGCCAAATAATAGCATGAAATTGAACTTAATATTGCGCAATGCACATAATGTCCTCCAATTAAATTCACAAATTTGTTCATTTTTGGGCCCGAATTAATTAATACTATTAAGTTGTAGGACTTGGAAACTCTTCTAATTTTTTAGGGTTTGTTGGTTAAGTGGGCAAAACTACACATAGAATCTCTAAAATCTAGTAATCCAAACCTAGCTAATTAAATAAATTTCTGGCCCAGGAAACAACCTCCGAAATTATAGTTTCTTTTCCTTTTTAAAACTATTTTTCTTTAAAACTGTTTTTTTTTTTAATATTAGTTTTCGGATAATAAAATTATTTTTAATTTTCCATTGAACTAATACAACATAGGCGGCCGAAATTATATTATATTCTCCAATGCAATTTTCCGAGGATGAAACAAAGGGAAATGATTAATTGCTGCAGCATGTGGCCAAATAAAGTGGAAACGTGGGAACTAATTAAGCACTCTGAAAATGACCAAACCTCCCTTCCGAGTTTTTGACACTACCAAATCCTAAAACTGCTAATACAAACCCATTATATCTACTTTTACATCCCTACTGGATTTGATGACCCATGCTTCATTGGACCATTGAACTTCTTCTCGTGGAGTTTAGGATGGGCCCAACACCTTCTTTCATCGTTTCTTTATGTCACATCGTTATTCTCCCTCTTATTCATAGTTCATTTCGTTTCATGCCATACATGGATGGATAATGGAAAATAACCTGTCCTTCCAACTTTTTTCAACGACCCAAAAAGCTTATTATTAGGCACTGGATGCCACTGGCACTGCATTCCTGTAGTACTAGCAGTAGAGCTGCTGACAACGACAAAACAAAGCAAACTTCCATTGCTCTCTGGTGAAATACATTGATCGTGTGATAATTAGTTTCACGAAATCCAAAAGTTGGAAAAAAAAAAAAACGAAAGGTTATGATATGCTTTATATATATATATATATATGAACAAAAAAGGACCCAAATGGTATCAATCAAAGACAGATACTCTAAAACACACCAAGGGAACAAACACCAGCAAGAATTCAACCTCACTTTCACCAGAGAGCCCCAAAATTTGATTATGTCCCACATGCAAGGCACATGATATGATACCCATCAGCTAGGTAGACAGTTCTCACAGAATAGATCACAAATGATATATTCAAAGGTAATAACAATGGGGAAAGCAGTTCAACAAGGAAACAAAAAGATAACAGTTGATAAAATTCATCAATGTAAAAATACAGACAGAAGATAAAACTTATCCGCTTCAGAAACTAAACCAAACTTGCATGTCTGGCCGACAAACGGCTAAATTGCTACCTTTCTGCAGAAGCCTGATTGACATAACCTGCACACGATCAAATGCCAGAGGAAAACAGAAACAAAACGTTATTGCTTTTTTATCTTCGTTTCTTATCTTCAACAAATGCCAAAAGAAACTGATCTTACATCTTGGAACATATAAAACCAAAAAGTTTGATATATCAGGCTGAAAAGAAGTCTTTGTGATGCATATGCCCCCTGCTAACTTTCCTCTATCATCCCTCAAACTGAACTGGAAGTTTTTCTTGAAGTGGATGCAGTCGGGATGAGCATGATGGCTATGGGTCAAGGATCAGTTTCTTGCTGAACATATAAATCCTGACCCGAAGCTAATCTAACACCCTTATAACACCAATTATCCAGCAAAGTTCTCAAAAGAAAAATAGGTTCATTTAGGGACAGCAAAATATTTAACACAATTTAATCAACGGTATCCTTCCATATGTTGTCTATAAGCAATGCAGTAACTGGCAATATGCAATACCTGTGTCACATTTACCCAGACAGATTAGTATCTTAATTTTACAGTTAAAACATGATAATTTCATATTAAATCAGGTTGCTGATCACACTGATGAATGTTACAAGCCACTTTATTGGTACAAGGTGTAGGGCATGCTCAAAGAAATGATATGCATTCAACCAACTCATAAAGGAATGGAATATAACTGAAGAGAACTAAATAAGATAAACTACTATTACATATCTCAAATTTGGACATAGGGGGATATTTTGATGATTTGTTGTCGCTAGGCGGTACTGATGCTGAAATCATTGGTAAGTGAAGGCACCATTCTGGTACCTTTTTAGCTCAAAATTTTATTGCTACTTTTTTCTTTAGTTTTCCTACAAATTTGCATTAATTTGCTTTATAACGGCTTCCATTGACTGGAAGTAGCAGACAACCAAGCTTTTAAATATCAAGCAACTGAACCCAAATTCAAATTAAAAGAAATAGGTAAGAAATACCATGTCAGGAAAAAAGAAATGAAAACACAAAATCAGGTTAACGTGAGATGATAAGCAAGGTAACCTACAATGGCAGGGAATGCATCAATAACTGCATTAATAGTAATCAATGAAAAGAATTTTCTCCTCAGTACAACTTATATAAAGGCAACCTTCGACAGCAGCACGATTGCAAAAGGCTTGGGATAGCTCCCCTTGCCCATAGAAACGATATTTTAAAGCCCCAAATGCATTTGGAAACCTAGAGAAAGAATAATTGCATTTAACAGAAAACTAGATGCATTGTACTACAATAAGCTTCTATTAAAATTTCAATATGGAATTGAATATAATTGAACTTTAGTTGAAGGCTTGAAGCATCAACAGAAAGAATAAACATTAACCTGCCAACAGATGAATTTTACGGAGCCAATTGATCGATCCCATTTTTTTGTCTTGAGCAAATATCTACAAACTCCAACATCTTATTGATCATAGCCCGCCATCGGTATTGCATACAGTATAAACAATGCGAAGTCAAGATCACGCCAATGATTAAAGCAATGAGGAGGCAACTAGAGATGAGAAAATAGAAAGGAAAAGTGATGAGTAACAGACGATTTAATCGTGGGCGGCAACCCCATTTTATTCAAGAAGTCCAACAAACGGACTCTGCAAATCCTCCTGGGAAATCTTGACGCCTTGTTCGCCAGCCAAGCGTCCATGCACCAGCTTGAAGAACCTCGTCAACTGATTCTTCTACATGAGTCCCAGACTCTTGTCTTTGAATATGGCGCTCCGGAGTCTGGCACACTCCAGAGGTTCCGCTTGTCATCCCCTAGGAAAGTGGCGTCAATACTCTTGAACTCCAAATGCTGGCAGGCTCAGGATTTAGCATCAAGTCAATCGATTTGTCCAGCCACATGGATGCTGAACTTTCTGGAGTGCTGATAAAGAAGATGAGGTGAAACGCTGGAATCTGGATATGTCGAGGGAGGAGTAGAGAGGATGAGTGGCGAAATCCGAGACGGGGTAATCGTGATGGTGATGGTGACGATGAGTGGGAAATAGGTGAGAGAGAGAGCGAGAGAAAGGAGAAGTGAAAGCCATAGAAGGGATTGGGATGGAGATGGTAGAGGCGACGGCTTGAACGGATTCGGATCGGCCGGTGCGTAGTCCGATCATAGTGAAGCCAAGCTAGCAAGACAATGAAGGAAAGTAACCACTTTCAAATCCTTATATACCCACACTGATATTATAATAATTCAGACAAGATGGTGTGATTTTGTTTGGAGTTAGAAAGGGAAAGAAAACAGTAAGCCAAAAAGAAAAATGAGAGAGCTAAATCTTAAAAGCTGTTGATGAGTAATTTCAGACGCCGGTCTAAAAATTGAGGGGCGGCGGTGTTAAGAACAAACATGATTGAAACATTGGATTTTCAATCCAAAAAAATATGCATGTCGAGCTGGGCCTTTTCAAATTTGAACGAACGACGGCCCAAAATTTACTCCGAACAAGTTGGCAGACACAGACAGAGACAGACAGACGGTTGTAACAGATTAACAGCTATTCCAATTCTCCAATGAAATGAACTCTTTTTTTTTTATTTAATTAAAATAATAAATTTAAAAAGGAATACTCCTACTAGTCAGTATTCAGAAAATGCAAAGAGAGGTAGCGTCTAGCTCTGAAGATTTCAATATTTAAAATGGAAGAAGACTAGAGGAAAATAAGAATACAGACGGAATTAATTAATAAATGAAAAAAGGGTAAAAGGAAAATAATCAAACCATGTATATTTATTTCATAGTTTTCATGTTTGAACCAACAATAAAATTGAAATTAAAAACATACGAAAATGACCAAAAAGACACATCAAAATTTTATCACTTCTGTTTCTTGATAAATAAAATGAATGAATTTTACAATAGATTTTAATTCACAACTTCAAAATCAAAACTACATCACGCAGAGCAAACATCCAAAAGCATATTGTTAGATAAGCCCCTTGTTCTATTTGACGAGTCGACAGACAAACTTGCTAACCCTGGTACACAATATCAACCAGGGTATGATCCCAACCTGCAATCGACGTCATTAATCAGAACACCCATCAAAACCATAATTGTATTCTTTTATTCCATACAAGGGAATGGCAAGTTTGACCAAGGTAAAATACTTGTGCTTATGGCAGCATTACACACCTCCATCTGGGTTGCAGATAGGCCATGTTATAAACAATTGGGATAAGAAAGACAAAAACCAGAGAGTGAATCCTAATTCTATCACATAAGGAAGAAGTTAAAATTATGATTAGAGGTTCTAAAATCGAAATGATTCCAAGATTTTTTACCATGACATTGTTGTTTAAAGAACCCCCAGTCTTCCAGGATAACACCTTTCCTGCAAAAAAGGATGTCATATTCAACAAACAACCGATTTTCTCAGATTTTCTGTAATTCATATTTTGTCCTCCAACTGCTTCTTGTCAACTCTTTATGTTCTCATGTAATTTAATTCATTTCTGGCCCTAGGGGCAAACTTTATCTAATTTTGTGAGTATGTTATAACGAAGCATGCATACCAAATTTAGCAGGCAGTATGATCAGCGCAAGCATATTTAGAAAAAGTTGTAGTCACACAGCCAACAGGAAAACAAGCTAAAAACTTAACACAACAATAGCCACAATCATTATAGTGCATTACCAAAGGGTTGCACAAATTGCTGAGACACAGAAGCAATGGGAGACCTCCAAAACCAGAAGATTAGCACAACATGAGTTACGACCTGCACCAGAAGACAACCAATCTCTTAAGATATTAATTAAGCAAACAAACATATACAGACTTCTAGACAGTTTCATTACAAACAGAATCACCTTTAAGATGAATAAAACTTTCAGATACAAATCAAATGACAGCTTCACCTCTTTGCTTTGTTGTGCCTGATCTGGACATCACGTGTTTCTTCTATCAGTACAGGTGATACATACTTAACAAATTAGGGGGGGGGGGGGGATGGGAAAAAAGGAAACAAATAGACTATAGCAAACAAGAGATAGCTGTTTATGAGATCAAGATCTCTTTCTTGAAAAGGAAAAGAAAACATATGAACCATAAACAAAGAAAAGAAAGAATATCAAATAAAAGTTGAAGTAATTGAATCTAGTTCTTGTCTAACTTAAAAAGTTAAAATACATGTACAATATACAGCAAATGAAATCAATCTCATTAGTCTCTCAGGATTAAATTTATCCTTACTCTCCTTACTTGTTAAACTTCGGTAAATAAAACACCATATCAACCTGATAGTCCAAAAAATTAGAACACTGAAACTTTTCTCCATGGTCCTAATCAGATCTCCATATCAATCATTTAACTGATCAAAAGTTGAATAAAATCCAAAACACCCCAAGAAGATTTTTCAAAGAATCAGATTCATATAAGCTTAAGCAATGAAGAAACATTAACCAATGGCTAAAAAAGGAAAGTGGCCTCACAATTTGCAAGTTCCTTCTCCTTGGCAGCAGCCAACCTCCTAAGCTTAGCTGCTTGTGCAAATGTAGACGGCCTATGATATGAAATATATGTTGTTTATCATGCAATTGTGAGTGCTAGGCCAATTAAATGGAACTATACACTTTTTAAATCACTTACTGCGAAAAGGAGGCAGCCTCTTTCAAAAGCCGCTTAATCTCTCCACGAAGCTGAATTTCCCTGTCAGTCTTGGATGCTCCCTAACCATGAAAAAAGAAAATCTAATCAAAATTGTGAAAAATCACAAGAAATTTTATAATCTTCAAATTGAGCAATCGGATATGACAATAACAAGCAGACTTAGGTACCTTCTTTAAATCTTGGAGCCGTTTGGTGGCAAATTGGAAGAAAATGACAATGAAGAAGATGAGAGGAGCTGACAGGGATCTTCTTTGTTCTAGGATTTCTCCTTCTCCCATATTTCTCTTACGCTCTGTTTTCATGGAAAATTTAACGAAAAGAAAAATATAATAAACCCCCTTATCTTGTTTGGAGGACAAAGAAAATATGAAAGCAAATTTCCTCTTTTCCTTCTTGGGCCTGACTTGCATTTTACATTTTTCATGTCCTACTACAAATATTTGTTCAGTTGTAAATTTGAGCCTATCTTCTCCCTACTTATATAAGCATGTGTTTACTAACATGATACTTTGTCAGCTTTGTTTCCCCAAAACAACTCAAGGTAGATGAAATCTCCTTCAACTCCCTACACAAACTTTGCTTTAAATGACTTTTTTTTTTCTGCATTAAAAACCAGCACTATAAACTCCAAAGATTTGACGTTTAACTCAAAGCCATTAGTTCCACATGAACGGATAATAATAATAATAATAATAATAATAATAATAATAATAATAATAACGTAATGGATATTGCAAGACCTATTACAAGGACTAGGAGACAAACAAGAGACTAAAACACCTAAATTCAAAAACCAGACATCAGTTCCACCAAAGCACAACAAAGACCAAGGTTATGGAATTAGGACTCAGACAAAAATGAAAATCAGCCATGGGCAACCATGGAAATGCGATCGGGAATCAATCAAAACGAAACTTATTGAAATTAAAGACAACCCACATGAAACTTAGGCTTTTTTCATGGCAAAATTTTGAAATCATCTCATTTCCCCTCTAAACCAGACCGCTGAACATCAATATCAATAGGCGGCTTTTCCCATTCCCCTTCAAAATATGAGTGCTTAAAATATTGGTACGTCAACAAAAAAACCGATGCCTCACCGTCAAAGAAAGAAAAAAGAGCACAGCAGAGCCAGAAGTCGTGAAAGAATAAAAGCGTCGGCCGCGGCGTGGAGGGCCAAATTGATCTAGTTGGGAGTAGAGATATGGAAGACGATGAAGGAGAGAGAGGAAGAAATGGAAGTGGATCTTGCGCCAAATTCAGAAAACCGGAAACTTTCTTTTTTAGGTATTTCTTTTTAGGGTTGAAGTAAAAGGAAAAATATATATTTAAAATTTTATTTCATATTTTTCTTTAATTAAAACTTTTTTCATAGCATTAATTATTATATGTACCACCTTAACCGAACAAAAAATCTATGAATTTGTTTCTTTTTTTCAAAAAATAATTTATCGTGAAATATGTCTTATTTATTAAAAAAAGTCACTTTCCTTGATTATATATTAATAAGTTTTGCAAAATATATTATTTCTATAACTTTCTTTATATTATATACTATAATTTGACTGACTTTAATATTATAATCAAATTACATCAATTTAATCAATCAAATTATTTAAAAATAAAAATATTATATTTATATATATATAATAGAACTAATTAAATTTGATATTATGAGTCAAAAGAAATAAACTCAATTAATAAAATTATTTAAATATTCATATTTTTTAACTTATAATTAATATATTTTAAAAAATCTGTTTTTACTAAAGAAAAAATATCAGGTTATCTTTTAAAAAAAATACTAATCATATACTTAATTTTTTTCATCTAAAATAAATTTTTTTCTAGTCAGATAACGTATATATATACATATTTGTAGTTCATTTTAATTTAATTTTTTTCGTCTAAAATAAATTTTTTTCCTAGTCAGATAATGAATATATATACATATTTGTAGTTCATTTTAATTTATATCTCCCAGTCCTGGGGTTCATGGGTTGGTACGGTAGGCGGAGGGGCCTACTTCTAAATATTTCTTTTGGTGACTTTCAAAAGAAAGCTTAGGTCTCCCGCGAGTGACTCTACTAGCACTATTTTTTAAAATTAATCTTTGCTTCTCGAAATATAAACGTGCCTTTTTTTCGTTTTTTCTGAGAATTTTTTTTTTAAGATATTAATGGCTTGATATTTTTTACTATATTGACTTTGGAAGAATTATTTTCTTTTTCATTGTCATTTTTCTTGCAGTGTTACTCTTCTAAATAAAATGATTTGCAAACGTTTAAAATTACATTTTTTTTTTGTGTTTAAATGCTTTCTTGAAGTTTCTTCATAAAGTTGAAAGCTTGTTAATTATAGAGAATATAATAAATTCATCATCCATCTGTATTTTTTGAACTTATTTAAAATAATTTCAATTTAAAAAAATTGATCCATTATTAATTTTGAATCAATCATTTTGTACTTATTTTATCTTGAAACTAAGTACTTCTTGGATGTGGTATCTTTTTCTCATGTACCTTATAACCAACTTTTTTCATATTTTTTTTGTCAATGTAAAAGTTGTTAGAAAAAATAATTAAGAGAGGAAGAATACTAGAAAAAATTTTGGCTTTGAGATGTGAATAATATTTTTTAAAAATAATTATATCTTTAGAATATAACAAAGCTTCAAACTTTCTAATCAGAATAGTAAAAATAGTTATACTAAAAAATTTATTTATAATGAATGAGTAGACATAAACTTCTATTTAAATTATTATGATTTTTTGTATAATCATAACTTTTATAAATAATAATTTATTTATATTCAAATAGTTATGACCATTTGTTATATGATAATTATTTTTATTCAAACATAATTATTTAAAATATGAATAAAATTAATACAAAAATTAATTTTATTCATCAATAATTAAATTTTTTTATTCAATATGGAATACACCACATTCTAAAATACCAATAATCCGTCACTAGTTTGGAATGTTTGTACTTAATTTTTACCTTTCACACAAATAAATATTATGAATACAAGAAAGTATCTCTCAATTTATCTGCAGATTAAATCTTAACTCTTAGTGTTAAAATTGAAGATATAACACATATAATACTTATTTATTCTTCTGTCAAGAGGTTTACAATCGATTTTAATACTATTATGGTCATGTATTAATCCTATTCATAAATATTTACAATAAAGACCCTAATTATTCTTGTTGAAGTGATACCACTTCTATGTTTATATAGGTAAAATTTTCATTCTGTCTACATTACTTTAAATATTTAAAACTCTATTAAGAGTATAAAACTCATCATCACCGTACAATGGATCACACTAATTTTTAAAATTTGAATGGATTTTACTAGTATTTAACAGACACATAACAATAATTTATTTTTACCCATTAAACTTTGTAATTAGATATTATTAATTCAAAGTTAGGTTCCCATTATTGGTGTCTAATAGTAAGGGCTTAAATCTATTTTACTTGTAGTACTACTAACCAAATATCCTGAAATTCAATTTGTTTTATCGTAATTACCAACACTTGAGATTGAATTTCTAATATAATCACATCAGGCTAATAAGTCCAAACTTTTTATTTTGCATATCATTTATATACTCCAGACATTGTTGCCTTATTCCTATTATTTTAAGAAATAGTTAGTTTTGCTTATGGCCATAACTCTTATTTATTAATTTTAACCATTCTATTTCTATACTTTTATACATTTTTAATACAATTATATTTCTAGTACAATTGGATAAACTTAATGAATAAACAAAATGATTTTAGTCCTTTTAAAATTTTGAATGACCTTTTTTTATAGCTTTACTTTAATAAGTGTTTAAACTTATCAGCTAATATAATTTGTTCATAAAATTATACTAAAATCTTACAATACTATGGTGGTAGTTTTTATTTCTTTTGATTCTTATCACCCCCACCATGTGCAAGTATGCATTCTTTTATTAAAGAATATCTCATTTAATTATTAAGATATCATATATACTTAATCATGTTGGTATTTTATTTATCTTTTCACTATTTGATGTTTTTTTTAAATAATAGGAGGCCTCCAAATCCACCCTTAGTGAAAGATAATTAGCTGATATCATAATATTTCAATAAATATTTTAAAACTTTTATATTTTAACTCAATATAAGAGTTTACATCAGTAAGTAGATTTCAAATATAATCATGCTTTTATAATCTCCTTTTAGGACTTTTATGTCAATTCATAAATATTTATATGAATCTATTTCATCATGGATACTATTAATAATTTTTATTAGCACGAACAAAACCATTTTTATCACTCAAATGAATCAAATAGCATTCTTTTGCTATTATAAAGTTTTTTAAATTCACAAGATCTTTGAATCACTCATGGCTTTCAAAGTAAATATACTTTGAAATTTTCACTATATAAAACTATAGATGATAAATCATTTGTACAATCCATGAATTAGACCATATACATAACAAAAATGGTCATAACGTGATCAAGATTATGGCATCAATTTTGGTTTATGGCTATTCTAAGCCAACTATAATAATTCACCTCATACCTACAAATCATATAGATTTGGCTATTAAAATTATCTCATTTATAATGATGGCTTTTAGTGAAAACCAATTATCTTAAATGTTATCATGAGTTTTCAATGCATATAATAATTGTCCAATGGCCAATTTCGAATTCATCATTATTGAAACCTCTAAACTTGATTTCAAAATTTTATGTGAACTTTATTTTTTCATCATTGTGTAACCTATATATCTCTATTATTTATCACTTTTAATTGGTCATAACATTTTCAGATATATAATAAATTCAAATTTTACTCATAGGACCAATATGCTTATAAACAATAAGAGTCCATAGTATATTTAACTCCAATTTCAAATACTTTCACAATCATTTTGTGATCAATATATTAATATCTAGATCACCATATCAATGCAAGTCATGAAATATGAATCCAAAAAATCATTTTCATAAAATAATATAAATAATAATTATAATATGAATTTTACTCATATTTCATGTAAAAATTCATGATGAATTTGCACAGGTTAAATCATTGATTGGCTAACTCTAAGGCTTATGGCTTTCACAAACCAATATTATTATCTAAGCCCATATATTAATATGGTATATAACTAGCCACATCCTTATCATTGTCATGAACTATTGAAAACCTCATAAACTTGTTCATTTTTTATTTTAATAGCCTACAAAAGATCATTTTTTCAGGTACAAAAAGCAAAAATACATGCATTGTCTTTAATCAATAATGTATTAATTGGATGATGGCATTTTATTTCCATAGTCCATATCTTTCTTATATGTATAAGAAAGAAAATTTCATCACATTCAATTCATTTTTGTAATATATGACAAATTGTACCAATATTTGTCATGCTATCATAAAATAAAATTAAACACATGCATGCATTGGTGCCTTTGGAACATTGAATTTGCATGTTATTTTCTAATATATAAACACGCATAATTAGACATTGATGAGCATCATTTAAAATGCTAGTAACCGACAAATACTTCAATATTTTTTAATTATATCAACTTTTGATTTATAAACAACCAACAAAAAGTATGATCATATAAATAGCTTAACTCAACTTATTATCTCAATTTTGATGCCATGATTTAATAATAAAACTAATCTTGTAGTCAAATCTTATTTTTTGCATATATTCTCTACTTGCATCTAATTTCTCATGATAAATTTCTTGACTCATTTCTGATTATCTTCATAGAAATTATGGGACAATTTGCCTATTCTATATATAACGAAGACATGATAATTAAACAATCGGTCATTCCATTAGAATCCAATTTAATTCGTTACTTAATAACAAGTGATAATTTTTTTGGTTGTAGATCAATTCATGTCTTTCTCTTTTATGTTTTCAGGCTATTGCCCATTTCAATCTTCATAAGTATCGATTTTTCAAATATATATAATATAATTCATTAAACCCAATTATGGAGTCAATTTCAGTATATGCATAAACTTATGCAATATAATTATTTTTTTTGTGCATAATTGCTAGTAAAAAAAATTGATTGAATGAAATAAACACATTAATAATTTATTTCATTAGTATGTAAAAAATAAAATACATATCTCTAATGAAGATCTTTATGAAAATTAACATTTTAGTCTATAAAAACATTAATCCTTTGACACCTTAAACATTTTCTAATATTAATCTCCAAATCATGCTAATTTATTTTCCTTTTATCTTACTCATATGAAATATAAATTTCTCATAATTACCTTTAAATTGTTAGAAAAAATAATTAAGAGATGAGGAATAATATAAAGAATTTTGGCTTTAAGAGGTGAGAAAACACTTTCTTAAAGGCAATTATGCCTTCAAGATACAACAAAACCTCAAACTCTCTAATTAGAATTAGTAAAAATGGTTATACTGAAATATTTATTTATAATGAATGAACAGACATAAACTTTTATTCATATGGTTATGACCTTCTATATAATCATGACTTTCATGAATAACAATCTATTTATATTCAAATAGTTATGATCATTTGTCATATGATAATTGTTTATATTCAAACATAATTATTTAAAATATGAATAAAATTAATACAAAAATTAATTTTATTCATCAATAATTAAATCTTTTTTATCCAATGTGGGATTCATCATATTTTAAACTACCAACACAAGTAATGTAAGTATCAAATAAAGAATCGAACATACTATTTAAAATGTAGCCCATACATTTATAATCCTCATTATCTTATTTTTGCCTTTTGTAAGTTTCATTGTGAGATTCATCTTCTTTCTCTTTTGATTATAGAATGGTGAGAACATTCATTCTTCAATGTGGTAAGGAGGATGTGTACCTTTTGTTATCACCTTAGAAAGCTACCTCCATCAAAATATTTGAAATTTTGGAAGTTTGTTGTCCATATTGCTTAAATAATCATTAAGATTGTTAGAAAAATAATATGGATAACAAAGTTATAAATAAAACTTGATACTTGATTGTCTTGTGAACTTCTTGTAGTCTCTTTATTGACTAGTAGGAGTTAAGCAATTATGGACCTTCAATCACAAATTAAATGACTTTAATGCATACTACAAATATCACTTTCCTTAAAGATTATTTCACTCTAACTACTTATAATATGCAAAAAGGTGAATGAAAACTTTTCCAAAATACAATGAAACCTTGTTTGTTTATACCTTGTATTAATATAACAAATCATTAAACACACCTTAGTATGAATAGAAAATACCTTGTTTTTGTAGGGTTTTTCTACAACAAACAATACTAAAGCAACTTGCTTTGTTTATGAGAAAGAAATGAGAAAAAAAAGAGAGTAATTCATAATTGAATCAGATTAAATTGAATGCCAAATAAATTCACATTAATCTTTATTTATAAATATTGAATCCTAAAGTTATGATTCATTGATTATGTTATCTCAATAAAATATTACTTATTTTTAATTATAAATATATTTTTTTCAAAATTTGCATACATATTTATTCATTTGAATAATCAAACTTTTTATATAAAAAGAAATCATTTTTTACGTTTTTTAAAAGTTGTAAATTTTCACACAAAACAGTTAATTGCCCTAAGAAGGCAATCGGCTACTTCTTTGTATTTCTAACTTTCATAATACTTTTAGAAGTAGGGTAATCGACTCCTTTATAAAATAATCGACTCTTTTCACATATCCGAATGTATCTTATACATGAGTAGTCGACATAGCATTTGGTTTTTTTCAATTCAGAAAGGTTTCCACATTCCGCCTTATATAGCGCAATCGACTCAAAATTTATAACAATCAATTATTTATAGTACAAATCTATCTTTGAAGATTATCATCTAATGCTAATCGATTCCCAAATGGTTTGAAATCAATTTCACACTCTTTTCAAACATAGCAATCAATTGCTTTAAATAGATAATCGACTATTATTTATATAGAATCTAAGTTCAATTTTGATATGACAAAACTGTCTATTTTATACCCTTAACAATCAACTATTTTTTCTGAATAAATAAGGAAGTCAACTATTCCAAATATGTCAATTGATTACTCTCTTATATAATCTTTTTATATGATTTTTTAAAAATCTATAATCATATCTTTGACTTTTTAAAAACTTTACCTTTAATGGTATACTATCAATATAGGAAAATATCTCTTTAGGCATTCTATTTTATTTTCTATACTAATAGAATGGAGATATACTACTCTTTGGAAGTTGAAGAGTTGAATTTTCGTGACTTGCTTTTGAAATTTCCCTTTTTAATGGGCAAATAGGGCTGTAATGTAAGAAGGGGAAACATCTGCTGTTATTCTATATCACAAGTGCTGTTCTAGGTCGTTGTTAAATATTAGGCTTCAGTTGTTCTTTCATCCAATTTTTGCATTCGACATTGCTCTCTCCAGGAATTGACAGTGTGTCTCAGGCATTTCTAGCTTTCAATCTCTTTTACTTCTTTGAGAAAATTTAAGGGGAGGGGGGGGGGGGGGCATACTGCTTAAACAGAATGATGTATAGCTTATTGAAAAGATAACTAGTAATTGGAGAATTGTGTTGGGAGTTTGTATGTAGCTGTGGTTATTAATCATATACAATTGTTTTAATTGATTCTCTTCGAAGGAGCTGCGCCGCCCTCCAATGAAGATATGGCATTGTGTTCTAGCATTGACAAGGAAAGTCCAGTCCAGTCCAGTGAATTTTGTATATATGCACAACAATTAGCAAGCAAAAAAAAAAAAAAAAAAAATTCTGGATTGCTGCAGGTAGTAGAGATAGTGGAAAATGCATAATATCGTGGAAGTAAAAGAAGCTGATCCATTGTTGTAGAAGTGGATGAAGATCAGAGATTTTACAGCATTTGATATAATATAATGTATTCATTCTTTGAATAGAAAATGAATCAATCTTTACGGTTTACGGCTTTGTTTTCATTCCTTTAAATCTAATTAATTAATTGAATTTGTTAGAGGAATAAATAAACAATTTATTAAAGAATAATCGGATGTGATGGTGATGGTGACGATGAATAAACAAGACAAAGCAATTTTAAGTTGGTGTTGGAGAAATGAATTGAAAACACTTGCTTTTACTTTTCGCCGAGCCAGCGTCTCTGTTTTGTCAGGAAAAGAAATATTTGGCAGAAAACTGCTTTTGGCTTGCCTTTGGTAAGAAAAATTTTGAAAATGAAAAAAAAAAGCCTTTATTTATTTATTGATTTAGGTAATGAAACCAATCGGAATTGTTTGTGACATAAGTTACGTGGACTAAATCTCTCTACTTGAAAAATCAAAATTCAAAACCAACTGCTTATATATATATATATATATATATATATAAGCCCTAATTTCATCCTTGTCAACCAACTCTTTCTCGTCAATCCAACCATACAACCAAATAGTCTCTCTTTCTCTGAGACGCCAACCAATCGCCGGCATAAATAAATGATCAGGTATTGAATCAAAATTCACTCTCTTTTCATTCATTCATTCATTTATTCAAATCTTCTTCTCTTTTCCGTTTATTAATCAACGTCTCTTTTGTTTATGTTTTAAGTCATTCTCCTCTTCAATCTTGTTGCTTTCATTGTCAAAATCTTCAACTTGGCTATTCATCTCATTGCATTTGTTCACTCTCTTTTACCTCAACTTCTTATATAACTGAATCTGTGTATAGGGTTTTCAAATTTCCATTCTTTATTCCATTTACAACAGATGAAACATCTTTCAATTCCGATTCATCTATTAATGCCGCTTCTACTCAAATCTATACGTTTTCTGAATTACTAATTTGATTTTTGCCTGAGAATTCAGATTTTCTTTACCATTTAGCACTGAATCTATATATGATTACTGTTGTTTTAGGTTGGAGTTGGATGTGATTGGGGCGGTTGGATTGTTATCCATGTAGGTTTTTAAGATTTTAATAAATTGTGAGAGGAATATTAATGGAGGCTAACATTTGTGACCTCAATCACTTGGAGGCCGATGTCCTTCTGCCTCCTCGGAAGCGCCTGCTTGCTGGATTTAAGAAACAAGCTTCAAATCCCAATGGTGCTTCTGATCAGCCTACGGTTGCTTCTTCCTCTTCGTCTCCTCCTTCACCCTCACCCTTCCCCTCCCCGTCCCCTTCTACTTCTTCAAGCGATGTTAATGCCCATCTTGATAATTTCTTGAGTTCCCATTTTAATAACCCACATCTTTCTCCCCAAGAGATTTTGGAAACATCAAGAGCAGCAGCTACTGCTGCTGCTAAGGCTGCAGAGGCTGCCAGAGCTGCTGCAGAGGAGAAGGCTGCAATTGCAGCTAATGCTGTCGTGGCAGCTAAGAATGCTTTGGACATGGTAGCATCATTTTCTGAAGACACCATTAGTAAGGATAGATACCTGAAAAATAATAAGCTCAACAAGAAGCATGTCCCAGTTCAACTCTTATACAAAAAGCACCAACCAATCGAGACTTATAAGACAGATGAAGATTTAGCCGGTAGATTGCATCGAGCAGTCAACACTTCTCCAAGAATCTCGAAGAATTCTCCAACTTCTGAAAGAAGAGGTCATAAACAAAAAAGGCCTAAGGGCTTACTGACTCTTGAGAAAACAATGGTTTCCAATGGGGGTATAGTCTCTGGAGGAAGCCCATCTTCTACATGCAATGGAGGTACTATAGCAGGCAAAATTGATTCTGAGTACTCCATTGAAGAGTCCGTTAAAGCAGAGGCAAAGGGAGCCACATACGAAAAATCTGGACAATCGGAGATGGATGATGGTGAAGCAGAATCAAGTCATTCAAAGAAAAAAGCTTGTGAAGATGCGTATTCTCCTGGTCAAAAGAGGGGAAGAGTGAAGCTAAAGAAGTTGCCCTTAAGCATTTGTTCCTACAGGAATCGAGTGAATCCCAAGGAAGAGATGATAAATAAGAGCTCTCCATTGACGGAAAAGAAGATGGGTAATACAACTGCTGCTGCTGCTAAGCACTTGTTTTCTCTAGAGCCCTCTGCTGATGGTGTTATTTCGATTGAAGGTACACCTATGTGGAAATGCCAGGATTTCAAGGCTCCTGCATGTGTCAAACAGAAAAAAGTCATCCAATCATAATGTTAAGTTCCTATTCTTATAACGGATGGCTTTAATGCCCTCTGCTGATGGTGTTATTTCAATTGAATGTACACCTATATCTGGAAATGCCTGGATTTCAAGGCCCTTGCATGTATCAAACAAAACAAAGTCATGCAATCATAATGTTCAGTTCCTATTCTTATAATAGGTGGCTTCGATGATAAAAGTTAATAGCTGAGGTAGGATTTGCGGTTCTCTTTTTGTAAGAATGACTTTACTCCATTTAGCTTTTTGCTGGTTTTTAGTTTTGTAACGAAGTTGAATAGACAGAATGTAAATTTGAATGCTCAACTGCTTGCCTCTACACTTTACTAATGGTGCTTGCTGCGTTAAATGACAACAATATTTGGAGTAGAGATAAAAAGGAATGCAATAAATTTGGGCCGTTCCTTGTTAATTTTTTGCATATTCATCCTGCTTTCTGGGATGATGCTAGATTTAATGCCTTTAGTATTGTTTTTCCAGCAGTTGATTCATTATTTTCTTCTACTTTATCTATATTCTTTTGTGGTTCTCCTTTGTTTTAAATTATTGCTGTATGAAATTCCTTATTGTTAGATGCACTGTTGATGGATATAGAAACAATTTCATAATTTAACGTGTTTAATGAAGGATATCTGTGAAGTTGGTGTTTCTCAAAAATGGTTACACCATAGTAATCGATCACCCAACAATGGTGTTTTCTTTTACCGACAATGATTGTTCTTGTCAACGAAGGATTTGCCTCTTCTGTTTTTCCTCACTATCTATCTGTAAATTTGATGAATTGAGAAATCTTTGTCTGGAGTTCCATCTTTGACATGCTGATGGCTGCTGCACTTTAGCAATGTACTCTCCGTTTATTATGATTGGCTTTTTTAGGGATAGAAGTTCCTTGCATGCTACTTTGCTTCAGGCCATGCTGTGATTGTGAAATGTTTTAAGTTTTAACAAAATTACGGAAGGATATTTGCTTAACAGTCTTGTCGATCCTCCTTAGTAGTAACGTGACTTATGTGGGCGAGGATGAGAGTTGACTAGGTAAGTAGGCGCAACACGTCAAAATCTGCTGATAATTTATGAACTTAATCGGGCAAAAAACCAAATTGAAAACTGTCATTCACATTTCATATTTAAGAACTACCTGTAATCACGTGCAGTTCAGCGCAAGGATTGGGGTATTATTATTGTGATAGGCAACCTATAGGGTGCAAGCAAGAAACTTGCCATGTTTGTTAGCTGGAAACGATTGTCATGTTTTTGGATCTTAACTGCCAATCTGGAACAAGAAAAGACAGACAGGATCTGGGAAAAGTCTTAGAGCAGAATGTAGACGAATGGCTTTAGCACAATTAGTTAAAGCACAAGGCAAGACATGTTTCATTCCTTGGTTGATGCTACTATACCAGCGGGACCAGTCCCACCTATCACTTGACCAAATCAAATGCGCAAGCAAGAAAAATCGCCTAAACGAAGCAAAATGTATCCATAAATAATAAACCTTTTTATTACAAAAGCGAGAGCATAATAAAGCTATACACCAACGGGCAACGGCTGTCTCAGGCCAGGGTCCAACAGGATATTTTCCTTTTTATTATCTATTCATTCATGCATTGCTCTTCTCGCCTGTCTTTGTCGTGCCAGTATATGCTCTTTTCTTCCCTGGTATTCAGGCCCAATGCTCCAAGGAGCAGTGCAGAAGAATATGATGTCCATCAGGGTTCACCTTGAATTCCCTCAAGTTAGTTGCAGCCACAGCCTCCATGCATTCATATATACTGTACGGTACTACTTTAGTCCTACAAAAAGATATAAGTAGTGATTTGGACCTAGCTATATCAAATAGAACGCCGGTAACAGCTAGACCGGTGATGAAAGGCGCAGCAAGTACTTGCAGTTGCAGGTCTGGTGGACAGCTAAACTGCAAGAGAGATGTTGAGAAGCACTCACAAGTCAAAGCTTAATTAGGCGACAGGGTAGCCAGGGCCACGAACCAATGATAAGTTGAACCAGTGTTCTTCTCTAAGCTAATTGCTCTCAGCACCTATAAAGGCTATAAACTCTACTAGCCAACGGCTGGGACCAAAGCTTGTAGTCTCTTGATTGGAATTTGGTTAAGTAACCCAAATTCCGTCCTTCTCTACTCTACTACAAGAATCGCGAGGTAGCCAAAAGCACAAAGCATTCAGGCTGGTTGATATTCAAGATCCTTTTACATGACATGAAAAAACATTGAAAGGATTCAACACTTACACGTGATTCAAAATAATCAAAACTTTCAGCATAGCAGAATCACCATATGCATGCATTAATTAAAGAATGTGAAGAAACACGTTTTATGTAACAAAAGTGCCACTAGTTTCTGTCATCGCAGTTAAACTCCCCTCGCCCATGTCATTTCCTGGCAATGGTTATTACTTTACATTTAGTTAATCATTAATCAAAAACTAAATCTTATTAAAAAAATTTAACAAAAAAAAAAAAAAAACCACAATTAATACTCGTACAGGTGGAGGGAGGGGCAAGAAAGTAATACGGCTGTACATCTTTAATCCCTTCATCACTTGCCCACTTTAAATCTGAAGGTTGCTCATTCCAACATCCACGTTAGATTGGCCATCCATCTCATTCTGATCTAAGCTCCTGAGATTGAGCCATGAGTGTTGCAGGCACTGCTGAGCAGTTGGTCGCTTCTCTGGTGAAAAATCGAGAAGAGGACAAAGAAACTCTGCAAACTCACGTGCATCACTCTCAGAGAATTTGCATTTATCCACCAACAATTGATCAAGTAGCCAAAACTTCAGCCTCCGAATCCTCTTCAGATCCCCATGCCTGTCAAAAAAATCCTTTGACCGAGCTCCTCCAATGGCAATCTGCTCGCAGTCGCAAAAAAAGAAATTTGTATCAAAAGAATTTTATGAATGGGAGAGGACATTAATCCAGAAATAATTTTACCTTTCGAGGTATCTTTCCAAGAAGTTCCATCATGAGAGCAAGGTGATCCTGGGAGCAACCCAATGAAAAATTTTATTCCCACGTCTTTTAATTTACCATGTCACCGTCATTAATAACGACCTATAAATATAATTAAACAAAAAATAGTTCGCATGCTCATAATCAATTCTAATCAAAGACAATAATTAAAATCTCACTTAGAAGTGTCTTTCTTAGAACCATTATACACTTCATATATATATAAAATTTAATTTGCATTATAAAAAGACAACAGGATTAGTATGATCCAGGCCTGTATTCTACTTGGCACATCTCTTTTTTATTGCTTTTTCCGGATGACAGCCAGGAGAAAAGAAAGCAAATGACACCTTACTGGCAGGAACAGAGGGGAAGGAGGATAAAAACTCTACCGTCACAGCTGCAACGCATGAAGAATCCCTAAATAAAATAGGTGGAGAACAAAAATGATCCTGACCAGTCATCATCTCAGTAAAATATAAAACATCTCTTGTTTTCGTCATTTGCCTTTCTATAACTATATCCAAACATATACCATGCAGAAAAGGACAACGATAAGGCAGTCAGCAAGTGCTTTAACGACATTTTGAGAGCATGATGCAAGAACAGTTGTACCTCATCATCGCTAAATCCTTGTCCACTTTTAGGGGCAAACATCATGTGACCAGTAGCGAGCTCAAAGACTGTGCAAGCAAATGACCACACATCAATGGAAAAGAAATACCCAGTGCGAAGTATGACCTCAGAAGCTCTATACTGCCTCGTTTGAATTTCTTCTGTAAATTGTTTGTCAGCCCAACATGCATTTCCAAAGTCCACAACCTTGCAATATATTGTCTGTAAATTGTTTGTAAAGTCTTATTGGCAGGATCGATGGTGGAAAACAGAAGAATATTTTCAGGTTTTAGGTCAGTGTGGATTATACCAAGTTCCCTATGCAAGTAATCCAGACCTATCAAAATGCATTTGCAGATATCCCTAACTTTATTCAATTCAAGCTCTTTGTAGTGGTAAAATCTGATTAATCGAAGTAAACTATCACCAAGGAATTCAAAGACCATGCAAAGATGTTGCCCATTTGGGCCACCGTGCTTACAGTGGTCGATCAGGCGCACCACACACTTGGAATTTGAGGGGTCACCATCGGCAATAGACAAAAGGACTTCAATCTTATGAAGGGCAGCCCGAGCAAATAGTTGTGCGCTTTTCTGAATCTTTAAAGCAACATATTTCTGATTTAAAAATAAAAAAAAGGTTTAGATAATACAATCATGCTACTCAAGAGAATTCAATTCAGAAAATTTAAGGGATACCCTCTCCCTCTTAATACTATTCAGATTAGGTTTTTTGTTTTATTTTTAATGTTTATTCACTCTGATTATTATTTCATTTTTCATACTATTGGTTAAGCGGATTTCAAAAAAAGAAAGAAAGGAAACGGATGATGATATCCTAGAGATTCTATATATTGGCCTTAAAAAATAATATAACGGTTAAAGGGAAAGAATCATAAGAAAGTATGAAAAAATGATAGTTACCTAAATAGATAAGAAAAAAGAATGAATAATTGAATTAAAAAACCAAGATGTTAAGCAATTAAGCATCAGAATCAAAATTGTGTAAATTAAATGAATAATAACAAGGTCATAAACCATCAATTCATGGACATGCAAATATATATTATGATGAAGAAGAAAGATTAAAGAAATTATATATATAGATGGAAAGAAGGGCTTACAGAGGATTCAGTATCGTAAGCCAGCCATACAGAGGAGAACTGACGCCATCCCAGCTTCATCTGCGCGATGTAACGACCACCAGCGAAGGGATGGCCAATCACCACGGCATGATATCCTCCTTTCCTGTATGACTCAATTCCTTCGTCATCTTCCTCCGACCCTGATGATGAAGAACACGGCATCTCCCAACTCTGATTCGATCACTATTTCGTCCGTTCTCTGTTTATGATTTTAATGGATTTCAGAGATAATTTTGTTGGATTGAATCTTGCAAGCCCCTGTTCCAAGGAGACCAATTTTTTTTTTTTTTTGGTCTTGTTATTTTTTGGAGGTGTTGACTCTGTTTAGAGGAAATTAATGAAAAAAAGGGAAATTTCTAAATGTTTTTTGTCCGATTTGTTTGCTTTATTTCCTTTTGCTTTTAATTTTTGGAGTGCTGCTATTTGCAGTTGAATTTTTTTTTTTAGTACACCTCCAAATTTTAATATTTAATGAAATTACTTAAAAATTTATTAGTTAATTATTTTTTTATAGTTTACATTTTATTTAAAAAATTTATTTTTTGAAAATCTTTAAAATTTTTTTAAAAAATGAATATCTAAAAATCATTAAGATCCATTTTCAGAATCTTTAGATTTTCATAAGTTTTTAAAAGTTTTTGGACATTTTTTTAAAAAAATTTTTAAGAATTTTTAAAAATTTATTT